ATGTCTTTGGCTAAGTTCTCAACTTTTTCCAGGACACTGACCAAACTTTCCTTAAAGCATTTGAAAATTGTATCTCCTTGTATTGACATGAGTTCTCGAAGTATTCCCATTGTAATTACTTTATCGTTATCCATTTTTTATGTTCTTAAATATTGGTTTATATGTTTATATTGGTTTATATGTTTATAGATATATAATACATATATGTAAATTCATATATATATATATAAATATATATACATATATTAAACTCATAAACCAAAATGTTTAAAATGAAAAAAAAATTCTATCGTTTATAGTAATAAGTTCTTCTCATTGCAATTCTAACAAATATTAAAACAATTTAAAACTAAAAAATTTTCAAGACCTGACATATATGTTATCAAACGCTTTCAAAAATCTTTATCTGCTTAATGAGTTATTTAGATTAAACTCGTTAAGGAACTCGATACAATCAATTCTCTTATTAAACAAAAGTTGACAGCATATTGTGTTAACTAAACTTTTATTTATTTTTGTGAAACCCTATATAAAAAAACCCATATAAAAAAGTAATGAGACATGGAATGCTTTGTTTTTTAAAATGTAGTATTTGTATAAAGAATTTTAATAACCATAATTCCTGTAACACCTGCCGCAAAAACGATTTTTTTTGGTGTTTTTAAAAGACTATTTTTTTAAATTTTAAATTTATTTCAAATTTACCCATAATTGCATCATTGGTAAAAAATGGGGCTTAAACTTCTTGGTAGAATGCTGTTCTGCGGTGCTCTGTTAGCACCTAAATAACAAATGAATAAACTTATATTTGTAAACGTTACAAAATATATAAATTGTACTAACAACCAAATAAAATAAACTTTTACTATATTATTATATTAATATGTATTACATTATTACATATATATATAATTAATAAATATTTATTAATTCAACGTATCATCATATAAATTGTTATTTAAAAATAGTTTAAGGTAAATAAACAATAGTTTAAAATAAAAAATAGTTTAAGGTAATAAGGTAATAAACAAATTTCCATTACAGATAAGTTTTGATACTCCTGATCTTTTCTTTATTCATAAATTTGAGATCAAATTAATGGAAAAAAAAAGAAGAAATAGATCAGAAGGATATTTTTATTCATTGTTGATATAGTTCCAGCTTTTTTTTTTTTTTTTAAAAAAAAAACAACATCTTTACTTCCAACAAGGCTGCAAGCAACCACTATTAGAGTTAGAAGTTACTAGAAGAGAGTAGATGAGTATTATAAAGCAAGATAACAGTTAACAGACAACTTAAAAGATTGCAAACTATACGAATCAGGAAAATAAGATGAAGGAAATAGATGGCACAAGAATAAATTTTAGAAGATGGCACAAGAGACGCTAGCTCTTTAGAGCAGCGTCTATTATAGTATTTTTAAAAAACAGAAAGGAAAACAACATAACAACGATGTGACAATTGTTAAAGGTTGGCTGCAAGAACAGGTCTAACTTTGTTTGCTATGTGTTTTTATACCTTGTCTAAAAAAGAAAGAGCGTCATTCAAAGATCCGCTCCAGATATGGAAAAAATATTTCATACAAGGACGGATTTAAGATTTATTCAGATAAAGAATAGAATCCGAAGTAAGAAAGTGACAAACACGATAAAGAAATGCAACCTTAGCAGATGCTAATTTTGCAATGGATTTGATAAATGGTTTCCAAGGAAAATCAGAAGTTAGAGTTAATCCTCGAAGGCGAAGGGTAGATGACTCATTGAACACGTTACGGTTCATAAATGTAGGAAGATCTAGATTATTACAAAAACAATTAGCTGAAAAAAATTGAGTTTTGTTTGAGTTAAAATTTACCAATCACCGACAGCCCCGTGCTGTAATAAAAACAAGAATTTTTTTAAGCTTAGTTCTATACAAAATTTAAAGAACTGATTGACAGTATTTTACCCGCAAAAAATTGTTCTTCCTACAACTCAACAAGTCTCCGCCTTAAATACCCTGGTTATAGTCAACCTTCGTCATGACGAAGGTTGACTATAACTAGGGTATTTGAGGCGGAGACTTATATAAAAACTTGTTCAAACGTTTAAGGTGGTAGAGCACAAAAAAGGCATTTTTTATGAAAAATTTCAAAAAAATTATTAAAAATGTGCAGAAATGCTTCACTAAGAAAAATGAAATACTTTTGCCAAAAAAAAATTTTTAAAAACTTTACCAAAAATCCATAATGGCGAAAAAACAGTGTAAATAAAGACCTAATTCTGAGGTTTTCAAAACACGTTATCTTGAGTTAGATTTAAAAACCATGAATCAAACTTTCCAGATCTGTTGAAGACATTATTTTACTCCATTTAACAGATAGATTTTTAATTAGTCCTTTTATATCTAAAGATATGACCTTTTTATGAAAATAAGTTAAAATTTGTACGATTTACAAGCAGTTTAATAAAGTTAAAACTAAAAATAATGAGTTTTAAAAAATATTAAATAAAATCTATCTGTCAAATGAATTCTAATGTTGTTAGGAATATGTCCTGAAAATATCAGAACAAAAGCTTTATTCAATCATGAAAAATCATGTTTTGAAATCTTGATAAAATATGAAAAACTCTACTTGCAGAAAAAACAAAAATAAGTACAAAATAAAGAAAAAATCACATTTAAACAGCAAAATCATGATAAAAATTTTCTGAAATATATGATTCTTGAGGTTCCTTTGCTTTATGATTTTTGCTGAGTTCTTTTTTATATTGCTCTTAGCTTTTTTCTTTTTCTTTACCGTAATAGTAGTCTTACGTTTCATTCGTTTTACTCATATACTGTCTGCTAAACTTGTTGTCAATTGTATAACATTTTTTTTGTATATCAAAAAGCTGTAATTCTTTTAATATACCATTTCTACCATCATTGAAATGAAAAATAGAGTTTACACCCATTTCTACAACATCTTTACTAACAAATGTGATTTTAGGTACCTTAAACCATATGAATGAGTTGAGCGCTTCATTTGAACTTTGTGTTTGACCATGCAAACCTTTCAACAGTAATTCTTTTTTCTGTTAATCCATAAAAATGGGTGTAATGAGATTTTTTATTGATAGAGGAATAGATATATTTGGTTTTTAAGTTTTACTTGGAGTCCAATATTTGCATCAAAATGATTCATTTTGATGCAAAGATTGGAAATATATTGTCTCTCAGGATTTGGAATATCTGTTATTAGAAAAATGTTTATTAAAACAGCTTTTTTTTTATGTTTGTTTGTTTTTTTAAAGTTCATTTTCTTATTTATTATTTATAATTTATTAGTAATTAATAATAAATCTTTAATCCAATACTAACAACAATAGGGTCTAATATAATGGTAACAACATAAATCTTTGAATCGTATCTCAACAAAACTCTCGACATTCAAGTTTCTTTATAAACAAAGTTGATAAATAAACAAATAAAAGCATGACAGACACAACAAAATGATAAATTAGCTTGCAAACTTTGCTCAACTTATAGTAAACGAAGGTATGTTTGTGGTTGCTACGGCGTTGCTAAGGTAAATAATATTGCAAATATAGATTTTTATCACATTTCCAAAAATAAATTCTGTTTCATACATACATCAAACGAAAGAGGATAAAATTTTAAATAAGATGAATTAAAAAAATATATTTTCATATTTTGATCAAAAATTAGTATTTTAATTGTGCTCTACCACCTTAAGATATTTAATGACATTGAAAACACAGATTTGATCAAGACAGTAAAGCAAAAATATCCATCAACAATAACTGTGTAAGTTGTAAGTTTTATCTCTTGTTGGAGTTGACTCCATACGTCATTGATGCTACATTTCTAAACTCTTTTTACACACAATTTGAAAAATAGATTTTAAAATTTTTAAGTAATAAAATACTGTTTAAATGTACATTCTACACTTTCCAAACATTAATGGTAGCATTGACCAATCTAATTCAAAGCTGAAAGATTTGAAAGATTACTACTGGACTTTACCGGTTTAATTGAGACATGTTTGTTGCTTGAAAATTTAGTTATACACTAGATCTTCTAAAAGGTGAATTCAATATCGCAAAACGTATTTTGCTTAAATATTAAACAAAGAACTAAAATAAAAAAGGTAAAAATGGGTTGTAAGAAAGTTACAATTAAGTAACGATTTTAATAAAACTTAATTAAATTATTCAACAAAAATGAAATATTTAAAAAACTGCCAAAGTTTGACAATTTATTTGAGAATAGATTAGAAATTCTACAAATGCAGTTGTATATAATGTTGCTATTTGTTTTTTGTATTAACGAGAATTTTTTCCAATGCATTGTTATTTGACATAAGTATATTTATATAAATGTATCGGAGACTGCTCCATGTCTAAATGTTAGAAATCTCAAATATCAAGAAACGCTGCATCCGCCCATGACCTGGTTTTTAAGAAAATAATATCTATTAGGATAGTGCGGCATAGACTGCAAAAAGAGCTCGGATTGCTTTCGCGCCATTGTGAAAAAAAAACCTCTCATTACAGTTTTGCTATGCGCTACGTTCATTAGGATGTTGCCAATTGGAAAAAAGTAATGTTTAGCGATGAGTTAAAGTTTGCAACGTTTTCGAATGAACGTGCGTCGGCCCATATGCTGCAACCACTGCGACCCAGGCTACAAGCAAAAGACTATGAAATACTCCCCTGGTGTCATGGTTTTAGGGGTGTTTTTTTGCAGCTGAACGCGGGGGACTTTAATTTTTGCCTCCAAATGTAACAATGAATCCAGATTCATTATCATAACTTTTAATCTTATGACAATACTCGGGGTTCAAAGTTCGCTTCACATTTTGGTATTCCATTAAACTTTGGCACACCGAAATTTTTGGGTTTATGATGGTTTGAGACCTTTAAAAAAATGTTTTAACAAGGAACTCAACCAGCTGAACAACTAATTTAGATTATATCACTGACTTTCTTTGTAAAACTGGTAAAAATATTCAAAGTTATATATTTTCATAAAGAAATTTAGTACAAAAAATAAATAAATAAATATTTCTTAAAATTTTAACATTACTCTCAAATAACAATCCATTTCTAGTTTTCTTTCTAATAATTTCAAAGTTTTTTCTTTTAGTTTTTAAAAGTCACATGAATTTTATAGGCGTGCTAATTTGGACCAATAAATATTAATTAAATGAAGAAGAGAGGCTGTATACAATGAATATCCAAATATATCCAATGAACTGATTTTTTTAATTTGGTATTGATTCTGAGCGATTGTCGCGAAATATGATAGGATCTAAAGTATCTACTTTATAACCACTATTGATTCTACCCATCATTGCTAATCGAGATACGGTTGGACTTGTAATATAGTTAAACGTTGCTGGGCATGCATCGTCGTTTTTTTTACAAAATAAAATAATAATCTTCATTGCGTATTGACCAATCAGGGCAACAATCGCTGATGCTTGAAATGTAAAACATAAAATATATGTTCCAGCAAATTCCTTCACACCTAATAGCATAATCAGTACTAAGCAAATAGTGATGATAAACAAAGTAAAATACATTGAAATGCCAATGCTCTTGATTTCTGAATAAGTTTCTGGAAGATGACGCGTTTTAAAAGCATATACTGCACAAGAAATTATGAGAACAGCAGGAAAAAGAGTGTTTAACGTCATACTTTCTCTTGTTATTTTACAAGATTGAACCCCTAAAAATATAAACTGTTAAGTAATGCGTATATAAAAAAAAATTAAATCAACATTCATTATAAGACCTAGATTATAAACAAACTTACGAAGCAGTTATAAAAGGTCCAATATAACAAGTATATAAATGAAACAAATGATAATAAACAATAATAAAAGCGTATTAAATAAAGATTGGTAATGTGACCAAGTAATCAGATATGTTTTTTGTACTTAAGATACTCTAGAAAGACCAAACGGGTCACAAAACAACAATAATGTATGTATGGGTATGTCACAAAACACCGCAGAAGAGCACAAAATCAAAAGAACTGGACTTTTTTTTAACAACAGTATTTTTAGATCAAAAAATTTTTGCAGTTATTTTAATAACATTTTTATTTAAACATTTAAAATATACTTTTAATAATGCTTCTATTGGTGTGACCCTGTTTATTGTATAAACTTTTGTATGAATATTTTTTGTAAAACTTACAATGTTATATGATTGGTACCCAGCTAGCACACATACATAGACGTTTAAAAGACATTTAGAACGTAACTTTTAAAAACAAATGCCCGCTGAGTTTAAAAAAAAAACAATTAAGTAGAGACGCAGGCAAAAAAAAAAAAAAAAAGTTATTTTTTTGGCATACCAAATTCAACTGATTCTGATGCTAGAAATAGAAAAAAAAATTTAATGATAGTATATTTAATAACCATTTCTGTGAAATAAAAAATAATACTATTGATGTATATAGAACTTATCGCTTTTAAAATTGTGTACTCAAAAAAATAACACATCAATGGGAACAAGTCTTCGCTGGTTGAATTACCAGATAGTACTGATAAGTTTGCCATATTAAAAACTGCTAAACAATTATAAGGTTGAAAATAGTGTAGACTTATTCAGATCAGAGGGAACTAAAAAGGAAATTTACGGAAAGTTAATTCCAAATTAATAGGATTTAAAAAAAAATTAATCAAATAAAGATCTTAATTCAAACGTTGAACTAAACAAACATTTATAATTTAGAATTAGTACAAATAAATTTAAAAAGAATGGATTAAATTAGTCAAATAACAAACCTAAATGAGAACCAAAAAATTTGATCATTTAGTTGAAAAAATATTTCATGAATAATAAAATCAAATATTAATATAATAAAGTAAAATATAAAAACGAAGAACCTGATGCAAGTTTTTATACCTTTTGAAACTTGGTGGGCTCATCAACCAGTAACTTATTACTATTTTATTTTTTAAAAATATTATTACCATTAAATCTTAATTTAAACTTAAACTGATTTTAAACTTAGTATATACGTAATAAACAAAAATTAAATCTAATGACATTGAACAAGTATGGTTTTCAATTAGGATAGACTTTGTAAAAGTCTTATATGAATTTAGGGGAGAGTGAGGCACAGCTGAACACGGGGCACAGTTGAACAAAGCCATCAAAGACATCAAAATCAACACTATTCATTTATCTATGCTCAACTGCGGACGTTACACAGTTATACGCTGATCATCTAAGTATTTAATTAAATTCGAATAAATACTCTTTGTTGTGAAGCTTGGTGTTAACAAATTGAGATTATTACTTTTCAATTCATATACAATAACAATTGTGATTTCTGATAAGTTTGTCGATATATCATGAATACTTTTTGATTTTATCAGTAGATTTGTAACTCACGTATTTAGAAAATTCAACTTTACTCGATGATTTTGGCACAATATTTACGTATGGTCATGTCAGTAGACCGCTACAGTGTGGGGCACTACTAAACAAAAATAATGGGACACAACTGAACGTGTTCAGGTGTGCCCCCTGGTTTGTTTGACATGCCCCCATAGGTCATGTTTGACTTTAAAACAGGCTTTCGCCTAATTAGGGCTACGATGCTGATATTAATTATTAGTTCTGTAGTTCATTATATATCTATACATATATATATATATATATATATATATTATATATATATATATATATATATATATATATATATATATATATATATATATATATATATATATATATATATATATATATATATATATACATATATATATATGTACATATATACATATATATATATATATAAATATATATATATATATATATATTATATATATATATATATATATATATTTTATATATATATATATATATATATATATATATATATATATATATATATATATATATATATATATATATATATATATATATATATATATATATATATATAGAAAAAGATTTACTAACCTGAAAGATCTACTAACATGATTAAAATCCCTAATGCAAACAAAGTTCAAATACCAACAAATTCATTTTCTACAATCTCTTTAGCTCGGATACCATTATTATTCCCAAAACTAAGAAAAATATTTAGGAAAGCTAGTTACCGCACTGTTTTTAAATCTAATCATAATTTAAGGACTCTACTAACATCAAAAAACAAATCGAAGCTACCTTTTATAAAAAAGAATGTAGAGAAGAAATTAATTGGGATAAAGTTAAAACACTTAAAGAAGAATATAATAAATTTTATAGGAAAGTTCGTGAAGCATGAGAGATTCAAAAACATCAATGCTCTCCAATTTATGGTGGAATAAACTTAGATAACGGACAATACGTTAAAGCTAAATTTTTGACTCCATTTTTTGCATTCTTGCTTCAAAGAAGCCGTTCTAACGCTGACGTCAAATTTTAGTTTTGGTAATTTATTATAATGGTCATAATTGTAATTTTTAATTACGATATTATAGCTGATGATGCTGGTAACTATAATCCGGCAAAAATTTCAAATAAATTAACAATAGTATTGAGAGAACTCGTATTAACTGATGTTTTTATATTTTTAACATATATACTCTCATACAAGATGTCAACATTTAAATATATGTATATATATATATATATATATATATATATATATATATATATATATATATATATATATATATATATATATATATATATATATATATATATATATATATATATATATATATATATATATATATATATATATATATATATATATATATATATATATATATATATATATATATATATATATATATATATATATATATATATATATATATATATATATATATATATATATATATATATATATATATATATATATATATATATATATATATATATATATATATATATATATATATATATTGAACAATTTTGCGCGCTTTGTTATAATGCATGTTACCTACAAAATACAACTGTTTATATCTTTCTTGGGCATAACTTAATCCCACCAAAAATAGTTTTGAATTAAACTTCGGAGTAAAGTTACAAGCAGAAAAATTATTGTAAATCAAAATTTTATTATTTTTGTTCAGCTGTGCCCCACTCTCTCTAATAAATTAAATAGGTTTATGTAGCATTTCAAGTTGCCAGAAAATATTGAAATTTATTTGGCATGCTTATAAAGCTTGAATAGACCAATATTCTAGTTTGTAAAGATTTAAATATTTTAAATAAAAAATGGTGGAGTGACGGCTGCATTTTGCATTAGCTTAAGGTCTGACATAAATCTATTAAGTTTGTTTTTTTGTATAAAACATCAACAGCCAATCGGGTGGATACGAAAAAAACCGTTTAACTTTATATTAAGATTTTTCAAAAACCCCAGATGCTTTTTATTTCTTTTATTTTTTTAATTAAACGTTACTTCGTTGTCTTTAATTGTGTTGATAAATCAATGATTTGCGAAATGTTTTGGAAAATTAATTGTGCATAAAAACAAAAAAGTGAAATTTTTTTGCTAATGAAAAATATTTTTTGCAAAAATCCATCGACTTTTTATAGCTTGGTTGCTTAAACGTACAAATGTCCCAAAGTCTAGAGTCATAGATATTATAAATAAGTTTATGACTACTCAAAGCTTCAAAAGAAAATCTGTAAGTGGAGGAAAATAAAACTTTCCATAAATCCAAAAAGGTATAGTTGATTCTCAGTTTAATATCAAGAAATCAGAACCAGCCACAGTGAGATCTAGCAAGAAAGTTCAAGACATTGCGTTCTTATATCAAAAAAGTACTTAAAAATGCTAGAATTAAAGCATTTCAAAAAAAAAAAAATACACTTGACTGCCGACCTCTACATCAAAGAAACCCTCCAAATAAGACTTTTGCCATTTATGAAAAAACACAAATACCGATCTCTCTTCTGGTCAGATCTTGCTGCTTCTCACTATTCTAAAAAAGTTCTACAGTGGCGCAAATATAATAATGTGAAAATTGTTCCTAACAATGTGAATCCTCCAAATTGTCTCGAAGAGTGCAAAGATTGAAGATTTTTGAGCTGTAGGTAAAGGAGTTTTTTTGCAAGACAGGTGGAGTAACAAAAAATAAAAAACGCATTTAAAAAAAGTGGACTAATACCACTAATAATGTGAAAAAAGAAAAAATTTGTGAAATGATGGCATCGACCCGCTATAAAATTTGATCTCTTGCCAAACAGCCCATCTAGCCCCTTGATTTTGAAACCCAATTTGATGTAAATACATTTAATGTAATAAAAATTAAAATAAAAAGCATTAATGATTTTAAAGAAATCTCAATTTATAGTGGACCGGATTTTTCTGTGTCCACCTGAAATATTAAATTCGAATATTTATACATAAAAATTACAATCTTAGCCATATCATTTATGTTGTCTACCATTATGTAACTAGAACATCAAATATTAAAAAAACCTATAGTAAAATAAGGTTAATTAATTTTTAAAAATAAAGTCAAAAAAATGCGCCTTTCTATAAATTTTAAAGATAAAACTAGTTGATAACTTTAGCTTATTTCTAAAAATTCTGATATTGACTGTATTATTGAAGGATGGCCAGCTCAACAGAGGAAATTCTTACTGATGACTTATGTTAATAAGAGATGTTCAGCTAAACAGAGGAAACTCTCACTGATGTCCTAATATCAGCAAGTTAAGACATCTCACTGATATCTTAACTTTTATTATTTAAAACAATTTTAGGAATATTATGCACGCATATGCACACAATATTGCCAAAATCACCCTATATAGATATTACTTGTTATTATTATTTTTCACTAATTACTAACCACAGCATACGAATAGAGTAAAGGATCCCCAATACTATTGTACTTCGCTAACTTAGTTACAAATAATTTTGGGTTCTTTACTCAAAACTGTTCTGGTCATAATTATAACTGTGATGCACCTATACTAAAACTTACAAACACAAATCACATTTTTATTAGTAGTAAAAACCAAAACCTCCAAAACCTTTTTAAAATTATGCTTTGTTTGATGATAATATGTCAATATTTTGTTGGCATATTATTTTGAATGATAACATCATATGATACAAAACGTAATGTCAACAAGTTTCAAACTATATTGTTTGCATAAATAGAATACATTCTACACAACAAATAATGCTGTTCGTCGTACTTGTGCGTTGCGTATTATTTTGTAAATTTACAGTTTAACAATTCTAATACCATTTGTTAAACTGCAAATTCATGAGTCGTGTAAATTATTTTACAATACTACACATTAAGATATTAATTGTAATAATTAACGATTCATAGACAATACTAAACGCTACGTAAATTAGTTGCAAGGCAACGCTAGACGTTGCCTTGAATTCTGTCCCATTTAAAATAAGCTATAGTTTAATCTGGATAAAATATAAACAAATAATCATAATTAGAAATTAATAATTATAACCTGAAACATTGTTATAAGTTTGTATAAGGGTGGGTACGTCATTTGTAATCCAAAGAATTGCCATTACCATTTGTATTCCAACCATTCCAGTTATAAGTAAAAATTGCGACTTCATTGAGACTAACATCAAACTTCTTAATTTAAATTTTGAAGAACTGGTAAAGATACGGTAGACCCGATTTGTTTTTAATACCAGGGGAGAATAACATAACGTCAGAGATAAACCAAAAACTATTTTCTGAATATGACACAAGTATGCTTCTGTAGGTGTTTGTATAAAAAGGATTGGCATTACAAGCATTAAAATTATGCCTACCAGTGAACAGATTGCCATTTCAAAGCTGCTTGCTTTTATAACAGGAGCAGATTTATTTTGTATGTAAATAACCATAATGATAACCGAGCATGTTATGGCAAAAACAGATGTTGTCATGACAATAAATGATAAGGTAGAATTTGAATGAATAGAAATTATGGGCAATTTTAAACAACCATCTTGCAATATATTTGGTCTGGAACCTATTGGGCAAACTATACAAGAATTGTTTCTAACATATTCTTTTGAAACATCACAGTATTCACACCTCCAACAGCAATCAATAACGGCTGTTTGTATTTGGTTTTTGTTACAAGCTGAACTACAAATTGATGGTGTTGGTGAAGTTATTGCAGTCTCGTTAATAATTAGACCTGTGGTACCGTTTGTTTTAACGTACAGCTCAAAGTTCCATTCTCCAATGCGCTGAAATTCAAAATTGTTATTTACATTTCTTTTATATTGAAAAAATTCATAGTTTTCTGGGTCTTCAATGTTATTAAGAAAAGGCTTTCCATATTCATCACTTGCATAAGGTATATAGTTGTACAAATCGTTTATTGCAGAAGGCTTGCACGTATTTTCACACGAAGGCTTGCACAAGACACAATTTTGAAATAACCAGTTTTTTAAGGCGTAGGCTGCCGCAAAGCTTGCTTTAATAACAGGTCGAACAGGTATAAATCGATTAAAACCAATATGCGATCGATTTGCACAGTCAGAAAAATAGTCGTTTAATGAACATTGATGTAAAGCTTCCCAATATTCACGAAAAAAGCCTTCATTTACCGCTCCAATTTTTTTCGTTGGATTTAAATCGCTGAAATATTTTTCAAAGTCGGCAGGAAACGGATTAGCAACCTGCAAAGTTATTAAGCCTTCAAACAAGCTTTGAACAGCAGTGGGTATACTTGCCATTGTTCCGCACTGTGTACCGATAACAAATTGAAAAAAATTTAAGGAGTACGAGTAAGCTGCAAAAGCTTCAAAAAGACGCTGGCAAACTTCGTACGTGAGAAAAAGGAAAATTGTTTTAGGTTTTCGTTCCGTTTTATAAAATTTATTTAAGTATGTGATTAGTTCAAAGAATTCTTCTGGCTTTGCATCTTTGTTAATAGTTCTAGAAAATGCAACACACATATAATTTTTTTTCATAAACTCTTGATATTCATACGTCATTGATTTTCCGTCTTCGTTGTACGTTGATATTATGCCAACATAGTTCCAATTATATTTGCGTGACAGTTCTATCAAAGCTAAAGAAGTCCAATTATCGAGTGGCAAAGTTGTAAAAAGCGAAGAAAACTTTTTCCGGTTTGAAAAAATCTTGCTGGTAGCACCATAACTTATTAAACATTTATTCCATACCCACAAAAATCTAGACCAAAATTCTGTGGAAGTAGAACTATACGATCCAATACCAACAGCTACATTTGACTTAATAATTGAATTATAAACTTTACTACGACTCTCACATAAATCATTAAATATATAATTTAATTTAAATCCGTTTGGAAAAAAATTGGATATGTTTTTTGTTAACTCAATGGCATAGATCATTGCTTCCATGAACGGAATTCCAATATCTAAGTTAACTCGCGAACATGTTGAGTTGTTCAAACTTATCATGTGAACTACAAAATTTCCACTAATAAAAATTTCAGATTCTTTCACATCTAAAAGAACATTTTTGTTTCTACAAATCAAATATTATACGTTTTAAAGCATTTTTAAATATTATTAACCAAACTTAACATAATGAAGAATAAAAAATTGATAAATCTTTGTTCTATATAATTAAAAAAAAAAAAGTTGATAATATTAACTCACCGACCAAGTTTGAATTAAAAATTAGAAAAAGTATAACAAAAAGCCACATCTGTTTGATAAATGTTGCATTAAAGCAGCTTAAAAAGAAAAACAAAATAAATTAGCCCAAGTACTTCAAACGTCGTTTCAAAAAAAAAAGAAAAAATTATATTCTTTGTTTAAAATGTATAAGCATAACATATATTATGTGTTTATAAAATGATGCTTACGTATTCTTAATGCTCACTTATGTGTTTTTTATTTTTTCTTTAAGGTAATATTTTTTTAAAATCTTTTAAAAGCTTCGTAAATAATGAACTGGAATAGGATAAGTAACATTTAGGTATAAAAGTTAAACAAAATAAGCAATTCTGTATCCAAAAATGGTTATAATTTATTAACGCTGCTACACTCAATCCGTAGTATTAAAATCCTAATAAATCAATAAAAAAAACATATGGGAGCATACAATACATAAGAAATCGAATTGCCGGATTTATTTGCTCGAGAAATGTCAACATAGAATAATCCTTTTATTTGTTCGATTCGCTTAACAATAATTATGTAAACGTTGGGGAGGGGGATTGTTTATGTTTATAATATTTATACGATTAACGTAATAATTCGGTGTGTGCTTTATGTTTTTTTTATTAGTTTTTCAAACAACTTGAATAATAATGTTTGAAATCAGAAAAGTGTAAAAAAAAAAAAAAAAATTAATGTCATTCTTGATAGTTGTTTTTATAATTTTATTATAACATATATTTTTAAAGCTATTTTTTACTCGGAAAATATACTTCTGTTTACATTTACTCATCTTTCTATCTATTATCTAATCTATTATCTAATCTGAACTTGTGATCAAAGTAACATATCTAATCTAATCTGATCTTAAAAGCAACGTAATCTATCCGATCTAATCTGATCTTATTAGAAATGTAATCTATCCAACCTAATCTGATCTCCTTACCAATTTAAACTACTCAATCTAATTTTTTAAATATTTGTTAACGTTTAATAACATGTTCTACTTATAGATTTTTAATTACATTGTCATATAACTAATGTGTTATATATAAAGTATATATAAACAAAAATATATATCTTATATATAAAATATATATAAATAATAATATTATTTATAAATATATATAAATATATATAAATATATATAAATATATATATATATATATATATATATATATATATATATATATATATATATATATATATATATATATATATATATATATATATATATATATATATATATATAATAAAACTTGTAATTTGTCCTATTTTTATTTTCTAAATAACAAAGGTTTTGTGTTTTATTGGTTTATATATTTTTGTTTATGTTTTTAGGCCATACTTTTTCATTATCATATTATTAATCAACAAGCTGGCTCATTTTTCAGGCTTGGTTCTTTTTTTCAATTAAAACTTGTTAAAGGTCATAATAGAATATATCTTTATGATAATACTATTTAAATATTTTTTTATATCTACAGTTATTATTTATTATTTAAGAAGTTTAAAAATAAAGAACTTGTTTCATAAGAGAAATAAAATGTCATCAAAACTATTTATATTTAAGGGTGTTAACGGATTCTTCGTTTATCGAACTTAAGAACTGGATAAGGGAAGCATCGTGCAGAATTTTGTAAATCACCGTATGACTATGAAAACCATATTTCAAAGGAAATAGTTTAGAAATCTTTTATTAGACTTGCATATTTATATATTTTACATGCATATTTTTTGTGTTTATTCTAATTGTTCCTATGATAAAAGTTAACATTTAACGTTATCAGGCCAATCGCATAATTTTAATGCAGCGTTGTACTTTAATCCTGGCGGGCAACCTTTCAAATATGCAATGCTTCCTGAACACTCAAAGAATAAAGTGCAATCAGAAGGATGAGGGTAGATTCCATCGCTAAGTCCATTGCAAGATACTGAACCTATAAATACAAAACTTTTTATTTATCTTGAATTATTAAAAAAATTTTATTTGTGATATATATATATATATATATATTATATATATATATATATATATATATATTATTTGTGATATATATATATATATATATATATATATATATATATATATATATATATATATATATATATATATATATATATATACATATATATATATATAAATATATATATATATATATATATTATTTGTGATATATATATATATATATATATATATATATATATATATATATATATATATATATATATATATATATATATATATATATATATATATATATATAATATATATGTGTGTGTGTGTGTGTGTGTGTGTGTGTGTAAGTGTGTGTTCGAATGTATGTATGAGCGAGTGTGTGTTTGCATGTTATTAAACCTTTCTTTTTTTTTCTTACACTTACTTGGTTTGGTTGTAGGAAGCCCACTTGTAGTTTTTTGTACCGTTGTATCAATAACATGGGTCTTTGTTTGTGGTCCTGTGTAAGGTGGCAACGTTATAGGATCTCCTGTTGGTATAGGTCCGACGTTATTAAACATGTTTCCAATATGTTCGCTAAAACGTTTTCCACTAATTACATTATTTTGGTCAAATGATGCATCCCAAAACATGATTCCACCAAACAGTGGTTCGTTTTTATATTTCTAAAAACAGGAGTTCAATGTTTGTAATAACCTGATTTTTTTTTCCTTTACGTTTTCCTATATGTATATATATATATATATATATATATATATATATATATATATATATATATATATATATATATATATATATATATATATATATATATATATATATATATGCTAATTTATAATTGCTCTGTTCTTATGGAAAGAGCAGTTATAAATTAGCTGAAAATCACTTAACAAAATTTGTTTTTATTTAACACAGAGTTTCATCAATGAAGATTCATGAGAAATTATTTCTGATGAGTCTTCATTAATGATATATATACATATACATATATATATATATATATATATATATATATATATATATATATATATATATATATATATATATATATATATATATATTCATTACATTGTAAATGACAGTTAGTTCTTGAGGATTTCTGTAATGCTGTGGATTTCCGGATGCTCTGGTGTTGGCTGGCACTCCAATAAAAATCTTAGGTCCATTGTGTTTTCTTGAGTGTGTTAACCATTGCTTCATATGATCATCAAACACTTTGGTATTACCAGTATGGCACCAATTATTGTAAAACTGAATGTAAATTTCATCAACCAGCTCAGGTACATCACCAAGTACGCGTCCGGGAGAAGGTCCTAACAAACTATATAAAAAGGTAGTGTTTTATTTTAGGTGCTGAAATAAATTTAAATAAAATATTTTGCAACATGAAAAACATTGCAAACAAAAAAATATTCGTATTTAAAATAGTTTCAATACATAGTAAGTTTTTCACCAGTCCGTGTAACACGGAGAGATATATAATTAGTGTTATGATATGATTTAAACAATTTTACCTGTCAGGATACGGACACTGTGGTGCTGCTCCAATGAGAATCTTTTGAGAACCAGTTTTTTCTAACCGTCTTAATTCCTTAACAAACACAGTATAATGAGTGTATCCTCCGTTTTCAATATCAAGATCAACGCCATTTAAAACAGCACTACAAATATAGTATAAATATTACATAAATGTTTATTCATTTATAATGGTTTATTTAAACAAACAAAAAAAAAATTGAATTATAGTAATAATTTTTATATAGAGGAAAAAACAGATTCATTTTCGGTTCATTACCTTCCGAATGGTCTCAATGATTGTAAATCAGTACCCTCAAGTAAAAGATGATAAACTCTGTAAGCAAATAGTTTGGCATCGTTTTCACTTCCAAATCCGGCGCGACCGACTGCTCCGCCAAGTGACATTATAACCTGTTTGCCTCTTTTTTGACACTCTTTAATTCCTTCTTCAATTAAAGGACATCTAAATAAGGTTTTGTATCCAGATGCAATTGGGGTTTCACAATGAAATGCAAAGTTGAAACCAGGCATTTTATCTAGTATTTAATAAATTTGGCACTTTTTTTAATAAACATAAAATGTTGAATAAATAAATATACATATATATATATATATATATATATATATATATATATATATATATATATATATATATATATATATATATATATATTTATATATATATATATACACACAAAGACATAAACTTAAATAACTTACCTTTGTTTAACTAAATAACTTACCTTTGTTTTTTTCATCAAAAAAATTATTGAGAAACGACAAAGCAATAATGTCATAGTTGTAGTCCTTGCAAAAATCGACGAGCTCTTTTTCCCAATATTGCCTTTCTTTTAACTCATTGTAAACAGCGTTTTGGCCCCAGTAGGCGACAATTTTGTGCCTCTGATCTAAATGAATTTACTTTAAAATATACATTGAATACACAACAGATCCCGAAATATTTTAAAATATAATTTTTTTTTTTTTTTTGCATTTACGCTCTTTTAAAGAAAATCTATATTTTCCATCCTAAACTATAAATTTTTAAGTAAGTGTTATTAAAGTTTTTTAAAACTTTTATTAATTATAAAAAGCAACTTTCTATTATTACTAACTTACTTTTATTTACTTAATTAAGTATAGCTTTGTTTATAATAATAATTAATATATTTGTAATTTTATACTTTAAATATAAAACCATGTTTGTTACACAATAAATATACATATAAAAGTTACGTTCTTACTCCCGCTGACACATCCAAACAAGGCAACCGCAAGAATACACAATGCAACATACATATTTGTATTTAATTTAATTTAAAATTTTTGTTCCTTTTATAAGACTTTGAAGACTGGTGCATAGTGCGCTGCAGCTATTTGAACATACGCGCAAAAGCTTTACACAGTTGACGAAATATTAACTTCAGTGTTATGAAATTTTATTTGTTGTTAACATACGTAAAAACTTCAATAATTTATATTTATATTACTATATATTTTAAATTAACTATATACTTCTTTATAAAGGAAATTAAAATCCAAACTTATTTTGATTCAATTTATATCTTTGTCTAGTTTCGATCTGTCAAAAAAAAAAAAAAAAAATATATATATATATTTATATATATATATATATATATATATATATATATATATATATATATATATATATATATATATATATATATATATATATATATATATATATGTATATATATATATATATATATATATATATATATATATATACATATATATATATATATATATATATATATACATATATATATATATATATATATATATATATATATATATATATATATATATATATATATATATATATATATATATATATATATATATATATATATATATATATATATATATATATATATATATATATATATATATATATATATATATATATATATATATATATATATATATATATATATATATATATATAAGTCATTTTTATTGTTATTTTAAAAATGTGAAAAAATTAACAAAGCAAAAACTTCTCTTTTAACTATGAGTATTATAACTGTTTGTGGACAAAAACAGGACCTGAAATTAAATATATGTTTTTTATATCATATCGTGGAGTTTTTCTTCTTTTCTGGAAAAAAAAAATGTTAAAAAATTTTGATTTTATTTAAAAGACTTTAATACCCGGTTTTACCTTTTGTAATTATCTTCTTAGTTTTCAAAAATTTTCACTTCAAAATTACTTTTGAACATGAAGTAATTTAAAGACTAAATTATCTCATGTTCAAAAGTAAACTAAAAAAAAATGTTTTTTCCATTTTTTTAAAGTTTTAAATTAATGTTTTTTCTATTATTTGTTACTTACTCTAATTAAATGGTTTATGAATTCATTCTTTTATTTTCTCAGTGCTACATTTTGCATATATATTTTAATTTTTAAAAGTCCTCTACTAGGTTCTCTACGAGAATCCGTGTTTTATATAATTTGTGTACCATACATTTTATGTATGAATATAATAAAATATAAACAAAACAAAGAAGCAAAAACAAAAAACAATCAAAAACAGAATTATTATTTAAAAGTCCTTTCGGTGAAAACCGAATCTATAAAACCGAATCGAACCAAACCGATCTACTTATTATAAAAAAAAAAAAAAAAAAAAAAAAAGATACTAAAACCAAAAAATCTTCAAGAAAACCAATATAACATTTTTAAAAAAACGAAAAACTTATTCAAAACAAATTACCAACTAATGCGTTTTAGTTATTTAATTTGAGAATTTTCAAACCACAGAAAAGCAAAGTGAAAAATTAAAGGAAAAAAATTACATGACTCTAAATAATAATAAAATGAGTTATTATAAAGATCAGCCCGCGAAATTATAAACATATGCTAAGTACCGTTTATTTTTAAAAAAGTAGGTAGCCATGAATAAAAATCAGTGACCATATAGTGCTTTCTAATTATATAGTATAAAAATGTACAATTGAGCTTGATCATTTTCATGTTATATGAAAACATGGAACTGTAAAAGAGTAAAATTGGGTTTCACAAAAAAAGCTCAAAAAACAGAAAGAAGAAGCATTAAATAAATTAACAATGCCAGACTAGTTTATTATTAAAAACAATAGTATACAAGAAAGTACTCCAGATGATGCATGAGTTAAATATTTTAGTAAAAGATTGTACAGAGGGGATTGCTGGTAAATCAACTAAAGCGGATGAAACTAAAGCGATGGAGAAATTTAAAAATTTTCAAATGAAATAGCTGACCCTGAAGCTGCTCAGGAAGTTATAACAGGTATTAATATAGATCTTTTATACAAATACCATTATGATTAGTGGCCTAAAAAAGATCCTTTATAAAAATAACACTATAAATAGTGACCTAAAAAAATATTTAGATCAGAACCTTTCTAATGAAACCAAAAGATTACTAAAAAGCATTCCTCGTCAAAAACCAAAGGACCATTTCCCAAAGATCCTACTTAAAAAAACCGAAGTTTCAGTAAAATTTACTATTATTCTACTAACTATGGTCCAACAAAGATTATGGATTTGTTATTCAAGTATTTTGGACACAGTACTCAGTCAATCTAGTTGGTTTGACCATTTATTGCAAGTTGAGTTTCATTTTAGAAATTTTAAAAATACCATCTGGTCCAATCAGATACTTAAATCAGAAAATATATTTTTGTTTTTTTACTTTTCTTGCTATATTTGCAATACAACAGTCTTTTATTCGAAGGTATTGTTGGCTTAGCATAAGAATAACCACAAATAGTGATAAAAACTAAACCAAAGTAATGTCCGTTATTGACCAAGATTTTTGCGTACCAAAGTACCTCCAAACGTTGAGTTGGTGGTGACTGGGTTTGAACTCGTATTGTTAACAGCACGGGTTTTAAAAATTCGTTTGACGCTCAAACCAATTGAGCAATTCAGCCACATACATAATAAACTAATACGATGTTTGAGAAAAAAAGTTGTTAAATAAATTGATTTCAAACATTGATTTGTCACCATTTTGTGTTCTAATGTTAGACACAACACAAGACATTACCAAGAGGGACCAGTTAGGTGTTATAACACGGCACGTCCATATTGTTAGAAATGTAAAATCAAGAACCAACTAATTTTTAATTTAAGGAAACATTTTTAGCATTTTATGAATTAAAGAACCATAATGCAGATTATGCAGAACATTATGCAGAAGATTAAGTATTAACTTTATTGAAAGCAGCATATTCTCCAAATAAAAAGAATTTTAGAGGTTACGAAAGTGCTAACATTATGAGTGGAGTTTATAGTGGTGTACAAACCAGAAGTTTATATTGGTGTACAAATCTAATCAAACCAGGAGTTTATAGTGGTATACAAACCAGGAGTTTATAGTGCTGTACACATCTAACCAAATGTTGAGTATGTACACAGTAACAATCTTAATTTAAATTTGATAATTAATAACTAAATGGTTCGCATAATATTTTATCATTTTATGCTGCTCTTCAAAATATTTATTTAATTTTTAGAAATAGCATAAAAAGACAAAACTTCCCCTCTACATTTTCTAAAAAAAATCGGGACATTTCTTTTTGTTTTTATTTGTGTTTTTTAATTTAAGATAATGTGCGTGGTTAATTATACTTCAAAAACTAAAAAAAAAAAAAAAAAGTTGACTTGGATGAAGCTACTGAAATTTTAAAACACGTTTAGTAATAGCTAAATTACTATTACATTAAAAATTCAAAAGAATCAAATTAGAAGCAGAAGAACCGGCGCGAAAGTGGGATATCAAAACTAATTTTCAATCAAAACAGTCACTAATGAGAAAGCGACATTTTGATGAATTGGCTCCAGAAGAGAGACCAATCGATTAAAATGAATTTTTTTAATTATGTTTTTGACAAAATCAGTGTACAAATTGAACAACGTTTCTCATGAATGCAAGCAGTGAAAAATCTTAACTGCTATTTATAACCTAATAACATAATAAAATTGCCTGATACAGATATCTTAAAATGTGAGAAAAAGTTTGAAAAAAAATATACGAAAGTTCTTCTCTTTTTGGAAATCAGTTTTTGCAAGCAGTTTCATTTTTGAAAACAAACTTAACTTCAAAATGTCAGTTGAGCAATTCACAAAATTACTCTACACTAAGTATAGTTGCTTAGAAAGTGAGTACCAAGAAAATATATAGCTCTAATGTTGTTCTTTACTCTACCAGTAACTGTGGCGTTGATAGATCTTTTATCTAATTGTAAATAATAAATGACTATAAAAGAAATTTTATTGATCGAATAGGTTTAAAAATTAGCTTTACTAGCTATTGAACACAAAGAAGTAGCACGAAAATCCTAGCTATGCAACTTTATATATACATAAACTTTCATGGTAAGTCAGCTAAAGCAGATTGTAGGGATGGAGAAATTCATATCTATTTAATAAAGATGTTAAAAATTAAAATAATAAGAACCTTATTATTTTAATTTTTTTTTACTTGCATAAAAATTTTAGGTATCGTTAAGTATACTAAAAGTCTTTTTATGATGACACTTAGGGTATCTTCTAGTGTACTAGACAACTAGACAAGACTTCGTCATAACTAACCTTTAGTTACACAAAGTTATTGTCTGATGTACTAAACTTCATTCTTTTTTTAATGACAATTTTATTTATACCCACTCTAAAACTATGACAATCTTTAATACTATGGATAGCTGAGGTAAATCTTTTTGAGTATTTAAATATACTTTTTGAGGACGAAATTAAAAGGATTGTAATTTTTAAACGTATACAACTTCTAACTCTTAAATTAATTGTTGATAAAATTAAAAGTTTATAAACTCCAAGAAAATCTTATTATTAAAAAAAATATATTTTCATTTAATCAAGCTAGATTTATTTTTGTGGTTTAAAATAATGACATAGTGCAGGTTTAAACTATATAATTATACTACTTAACTTCATTATGTTATGTTTCTATAAAAATCTACAACTGCATAGAGTTCGAAAACTTTGATGTCAATTTAAGTAAATAAACTACCTTTTCAAAATCTTTTAGGTAAAGGCTAGGAGAAAAAAACTCTGAGTTCCCCCCTGGATTGAGGCTCTTGGTTAAGTAAAAGTTAGATATGGTGTCTTAATAAAAATACTCGTCTTGGAAAGATGTTACCTGCATCTTTCTACTATCTTGTAAAAGGTCTCCAAAACATTTGGGGTCAGCAGAATAATTCTGTTGACCAACCTTCACCACGAACCCTTTTTTCATCTATAAGGCTGGCGGAGAGGTGTACCTGTGTTGCATTATTCTTTACCTTTGATAATTGATTGTGTCTCCTTGATAGTAGCTATGCAACTCTTCCTGTTA